TCTGTTCTACGATTTTGGACGGTGTCATTGTGCGTGTTTTTAAGGATAAAGAAACAGTGAAGAAGAAAAAGAAGAAGGAAAAGAAAGAGAAAAGGGATAAAGCGGAGAAAAAGAAAAAGCATAAGCATCACAAAAAGCACCACAAGCATCACCGTAGCAAATCAGCTGCTTCTGAAAACGAGTCTGATGAGGCTAAGCCGGTAAGGAGAAAGTTTTGCACTAGTTTCACAATTTGCATATTGCTTTCATAACCCGCATGAAAAAAAACGCAATATGCGCAATATATTTATTATGATTTTATTTTTCTGTGTTTGAAACAGTGTCACTGCTAATGTTAACATTGTTTGTGTAGGCTGCGGTTCCATTCCTTTTGGAGCGCATAGGCATGGAGATTCTTGATGGGATCACCAGACCTTCGCTTAACAGTGAATTGAAATCTATCTGCAATCTCACGATATTAGAATGAGGTCTTGGGGCAGTTTATTTTTGACCTTTGATAAAGATGCGTGTAATTCACAAAATATTATTTATAAATAATAGTCTCAGCCTTATTGTCTCAACCATAAAACTGACGTGCATCTTGTTCTCGACTGATGTGTCGCAACCCTTCTTATGCGGGTCTGATAGTCCTTCATTCTGCTGGTACTGCGGTGTGGATGCTAGGTCTGAACGCTTCGAAGTTAGATGCGAATATTAGATCTGCACATGAAGAGTTATAGGCGACACCTTTACAGAAGACGTATTACTTCACGCGGAGTACGATTGCCACAGGAAAGGCTAAGTTACCATCCGCCCTTGACAACCTCTGTCCTGGCGAACTATCTTGTTCTGCCATGTGAGGAAGCTATCAACGGGCTATTCGCAGTGCTCTAGGAGATGCTTAAAAGGACACGTTGTATTCCAGCTGCTGCCGTTTCACCGGAAATTCAGAAGCGGGTCACAAACGGACAAGATATCTTCCTCATCGACCTCTCAGGAGTCATCCTACTCTCATCAAGAAATTGTCAGACGTACTCTCGTACCATGGTGACTTCTTATTCATTTTTTTGTTCTCACAGACGCTGCTCTCTAGCTCTGTTTGCACCAGCGCTGATCACGTTGGCCATCTTCAGCTCATCTTTGTTCACTAGTTTGATCCTTGTCCTTTTGTGTGAGTAGTGAAGCCGGAGAGATCTTTTGGTCGGGCACGTCAAAAGCGCACATTCTTCATCACGGCAAATTCTATTTTGCAAGTGGTTCAACCAACTGCGCTTCAGTGCAACAGACAAGAAACGGATGGCAAGCAAGTACAGAAGCCACTCGGATACTCATCTGGAAGCCATACCGCTCTTGTATTTTGGAGTCAGTTATTCCTCAGCTCCTCCTGTCTAGCTCCTTTGTATAAATTTTACACTGGAGGCTGAATAAGTTAATGTCCCGATGATTGGAGCACTTCTTGGGGTCTCCCTTCTTTAACAGGGGGCTACAAC